TGCTCATAGAGAAGCTCAAACTTAATTTCAAAAAACAAAACGCAGATTTTGACATTTTCCAACGTATAGGTGAATGGAATACACAGAAATAGACATTTGATTTACCATCCCTAGCTCACGATTTTTTATCTCTTTCTATGGTAGTTTCAGAGAGGAGCTTTAAGCATTGACTTGGAAATAAAAAAAAATGTATCTGCATATACCAAGGAAACCAGTCAGGTGGTATTCAGTTGAAGTGAAACTTAGAAGCCTCGCACGGCTGACAGTCACCTTAGCAGCTGCAGCTAGGTTTTTGATTCTACGGCTTACTGTGAACCATCTGTAGATACTTCATCGCAGTTCTCCTGTTTCCAAAAAGAGGAGAGGTATAATGTAATTTAGTGCTAAAGAATGTGGAGTGGGGAGACGAACTGTGGGTACCCTCACAAGTGAGAGAATTATACATGAGATTTTCTATGAGAGGACTTTGAAAAACAACCAGTGTAAGAAGTTGAGATGTAGCCGAGTGTCGAAATACTTGCTTAGAATGCACAAGACCCAGAGTTCAATCCCAGGCACTGCTGAATAAAAATAGAAAAATTCTAAGGAAATAATGTACTTCATCACTATTTTGAATTCCATTGACAGAGAAAAAACGGGCAATATTAGATGACACACTCGTATTCAATAGAGAAGAGAAATGCTTAATGAGCGCCGACTGTCTAGAGCACTTGGGAACAGGTGACCAGCACACTCCAGTGGCCCACACGGTTTCTCTGATATGTAACAAAAAGATCTCTTAGTTTACCTTAGAAGCTCTTTAGTAGTCCATTTCATCACTAAGAAAGGCAGAGTAGAGTATGTAGGAAGTGCTCAATTGAAGAGTACTTTCCATTTTGTAGATATGAGATTTTTTTTAAAGATTAGCTTATCTATAGTTGTTCTCAGTTGAATTATATGTACATGGAGAAAGAGAGAGAGAGAGAAAAAGAGAGAGAGAGAGAAGAGAGGGGGGAGGGAGAGGGAGCTTTTCTGCATAACCCCCAAATCACAGTGGCTTGCAATAACAGTGACACTATCCACATTGAACTCATTCAAGATGCTTGTCTGCCGATTTGTGGTAAGCAGTAGTTGTAACTTTACTCTAGTCGGGTCTCATGTTTCGCATTCCCTGAAACAGAAGAGAAGGCCATGCCTGCAACAGGCTCCCTTTCAATCATGGCTGACAGAAAGGATGAAGAGGCTGATGCTTGGCGCTTCTTGTAGCTTCTGTATGGTCCTGGCATAGATAGTTTGCATCATCATTCTTCTGCTAAAGAGAATGACATAGAGGCCATGCTGCTGGGAAGTATATTCTCCACAACAAACAGCAAAACTCAGAACCTTCTTACAAGGGGAGGGAGGTGAAAATGGATAAGAAAGGGTGATATCTCCCTCTAAGCCTTGTGAGTCAAAAAGTAAAGTTGCATAGCAGTTATAGACAAGTGCACCAGTGTTAGAGTTGTTGTCACCATTAGTCACTTTAAATGTTCATTTAAGGAATGCAGGTATCTCTAAGTCCTTGCATATCATTAAAGCCCATTACTGTTGGGTGCCTGTGGCTCACACCTGTAATCCTAGCTACTCAGGAGACTGAGTTCTGAAGATCAGGGTTCAAACCCAGCCCAGGAAGGAAAGTATATGAGACTCTTATGTCCAATTAAGAATCAGAAAAACAGAAGTGTCACTGTGGCTCAAGTGGTAGAGCTCTAGCCTTGAGCTGAAGAGCTGAGGGACAGTACTCAGGCCCAGAGTTCAAGCCATATGACCAAAAAAAAAAAAAAAAAAAAAAAAACCATTACTTCTCCACGTTTTCCAAAGCCTTTATAAAGCTTTGAACTATCAGTTGTAGTATTTCAAAAGCTATATATTTTACCTTTGCACTCATGTTTTAAAATACACAATTACAATCATTTATCATTGTTCCCCACTATAAATAATCATTTCAAGAATATCTTGGACATATATATGTTTTTCTTTTTCTCTGAATGGAATTAAAGTGATAACATTCCCTTTGTAGAACATTTACAAAATTTTGAAAGAATAAAAAATAAAAGTACCCGATATTCATATCCCTCCATAATGTACAGACACACAGTGGCATATCCACAATGTATACTCAAATAGACACAAAGAGTAATTTTTAACCAGACAACAAATATTGTTTCTTTTTATTCAGAGATGTTAATTACACAAAGGAGTTGTATTGTGATATTTCCATGCATACATATTGAGTACTTTAATTCAATTCACTCTTGCTCTTTCTAATCCTTCTTTCCTTTTCTTTTTCAATTACAATGGGTGGACAATCCTCTGTTATGTGCTGACTTTTGATTCCTTAAGATATATACCCAAAAGTGATATGGGTGGACTGTACTGTAGATCTATTTAAGCTTTTGTAGGAAACTCCATTCTGATTGCCATAGGAACCAAACTAATTTACATTCCCACTGATATTACATTAAGGGTTCTTTTTTCCTACATTCTCACCAGCATTTGTTCTTGTCTTGTTGATGATGGCCGTCCTCACTTAAGTAAGATGGGCTTTCCAACTTGCATCTCCCTGATAACTGAAGATGTGGAACATTTTTTTTCATGTATTCATTGGCCATTATATTTCTTTGAGAAGTGTCCATGCAGTTATTTTTCCCATTTATCTATTGGATTATTTGTTATTTTGAGCTTTAAGAGTTTGAGTTCTTTATATTACTGGCTATTAATCCCTGTCAGATGAACAGCTGACAAAGATTTTCTCCCACTCTGTGGACAGTCTCTTCTTCACTCAGGTAATTGTTTTCTTTGCTGTGCAAAAAGCTTTCTACTTTGATGCAATCCCACTTACCAATTCTTGTTATTATTTCCTGAGCTATTGGTATCCTATTCAGAAATTTGCTGCCTATGCCTATATCTCGAAGTATTCTCCCTGTATTTTCCTCTAGTGGTTCCAAAGTTCAGGTCTAACATTGAGGTCTTTGATCCACTTCAAATTGATTTTTGTACTGAGTGAGAAATAGCGATCTCATTTAAGTCTTCTTCCTGTGTGTTTTCCTCATTTATGTTAGTCCTTCTTCTCCTCTCCTTTTTTATCCTGTTTAACTGATACCCATGTTTCAAGGCCCCACAGAAATTGTAGCTCCTCAAGGACTTTTACATCAGTGTAAGTTATCACAATCATCTGTAAATGAGGCAGATATGATTGCTTTTCTCAAAATGTCTTTTATGTCAGTCTATGCAAAAAATTTTTGTGTAAAATACAAGAAAGAGGACAGTTGCTTTAAACACATCCATTACAATAGGCAAAATCTATTTATGTGATGTGTAAATGTATTTACACATCTGTGTGTTTCTATATGCATATATTTGGAGGAAACGAGTCAAAGAGAAACTGATAGGACATGTAAACACTTGATCTTTGTTTTTATGAAGTCCTCTGAACTTCTTTTTGAGAATAGGCAGAATGGATACTTGGCCACTAAAGTAATAATGATACTTATTATCTTTCCTGAAGATACATCCTTGGGCTAAAAGGTTTCCATTTTGAACCATATTTGGTTCATTTGTGTAGAACTAGCCACTTGCTGCTCCTCCCTGTTTTCCAGTGTTGACTGTGTGAATTGGTAGAGCCTTGTTCCTTTGGCAAGTCTGTCTAGTCCTCCTCACAGGTGATGAACAGCCCCTTCCACTGGAAAATGAAAACATTGCACTAGATGATTGTTTAACAGATAAGCAGTTGATGTCGAGAATCACTTTCTGAGATATTTTTGGCTCATATGACAGAAAAGGGAAGTGCTGGTTTGTTCATGCTAACAACCTCGCTATCATGTATTGCCCTTTATATTTTTTCTTTTTTGAAATTTCTTTTGGTGGTACAAGAGGTTGAACTCAGGGCCCAAGTCTCCTGTGTAGGTACTGGGCTACTTGAGGTGTACCTTTACCCTTTTTTTCTTTAGTTATTTTGAGGAAAGACTCTTGCATTTTCACTTAGGATGACCTGGACCTCAATCCTATCTTCCCACAAAGCTGGGATGGCAAGTTCCCACCACCACATGTACCTATTGATTTACTTGTCTGTGAAATGACAAAAGTGAGACTAGATGCTTTTTCTTTGTAGTTTTAATAAGCCTTATAGTTTTATAGCTGGTATATGTAGTACCCTATAGTCAATGGCATCTTTTAAAGTTAAAAAATAGATACTTTTCTATACAAAGTGTTTCTCTCTGGAAAAAAAAATAGTGTGAAAGTACAAGATGGAGAAAGCATCCAGAATTCAAACATGAGAGACCAAGAAATACCCTAGTCTCATCATTCGCTGCAACTTGTATTTCTCTTATATGATAGGCATTTCTCAAGTCATAAAATTTTTACTTATAGTAATATAAACTGAAATATCTTGGAGTTATTATAATACTAGGGTATTAAATTGATGGCTTAAATTTCAAATTAGTCTGGTGGTAGCAGTCAGTACTAGCAAATATATAAACTCTAACAACCATTATAAACTTCCTTCATCAAGGAAGAAGTTCGCAAATTGTACTAAATAAAAGAATCCTATTTTAATTCCAACAGACAAACTGATCTGATATATGATATTTGAGAGGAGAGTGGAGAGTTGAGAGTTGCTTCTGGCAAACGTAATTGCTACTGCTTAAACAAGTATTTCTTTTCTAGTAATTAGATCTTTTTCATTTGGATGGGTCATCATAAATATTAACCACCAGCAGTGCAAGAATAATCTGTATTCAAATGATCAGACATCACTCTTTGAACACATAAAATAATTTACATTTATTTGGAACCTTTTATCCTAAAATGCTCTACACATTTTTCTTTATAATCTGATTGATTGCAAGCTATATATAGGACTCTGACACCTGGAGTAGGTTAGCAAGTAAAGCAATAAAGATACAGGACACCATTTCATAAAATCAGAGCAAAAGAAGAAATATATTTGACTTTATTCCGATATACTTCTCTGCCAACAGGACTGGAGAATCCATATTGACCAAATGCACCAACACAAAAGTGGTATTGAATCTGCTCTAAAGGAGACCAAGGTAGGTGCCTTATTTCAGATGCATCAAAGTGTATTTGCTTATCTGTGAGAGATATTATATTATGAGAGAAGAAGGGAAAATGACACACGTATGATTTCCTGCAGCTTATTAATTGATATAACATTTTACATTCTCACACCATTAATACTTAAGCCAACTAGAGAAGGGAAACTCATAAAAGCTATATTTTTAAATATCCTACATACCTGTTATATATATGATATATTAAGCTTTATATATATGATATATAATACATATAAAATATGCATAACAGGTAATAGATAACATATATCATACATTACATGTATGATCATATATGTGTACATATAATATATATGGTGTATATATACTGAGACTTTAGAAATACTTCAACACTTTCCCCTAAATGTCTGGGTATAAAAGAATGCCAGGTCAGCAATGTCCTGTAGTCTAAGCTTTCCTAGCTGCTGCCATGCTGGAAATCAGATCTTTAAAAGGATGCCATGAAAAAAATCTTCATGAGACATTCTAGGTCTCAGGCTAGAGGTCTCAGTTTAGGACTCTACTTCCCCACTAGGCTCTTCAGTTATCTTTCATTTCCATTGTAAGAAAACCTTATTATTCCTTACCTACATTAACTGAAGTTTATGTAAAACTAATTGCATTCACATAAATTTTAGATACATGTTAGGATCGTTGAATTAGCTAATCCTACCAAATTTAGTTTAGTTTGGCTTTGTTTTTTGTTTTGTTTTATTTTTATTTTTTTATTGTCAAGGTGATATACAAAGGGGTTACAGTTACGTAAGTACATTTCTTGTCAAACTTATTACGCCTTCCCTCATTTTTCTCCTACTTTCCCTCCCCGCAACTACCCCGTAGTTGCACAGGTCATTTCTAACATATTGTCTGTGTATATCACAGACAATTGGTTCCTTCCTTGTTCTTCATCTCACCATTCTGTTGTTCCCCTTCCCTTCCCTATTCAAATAAATGTATATACAAAACCAGGGTCCCAAAACCAAATACAGTGACAACAGAGGATAAACCATAGGGGGAAGAACATATAAAAGAACCAAAAAAAATCACATAGTACATTAAAAACAACAACAACAAAGAAAAACCTCTGTGTCCATATCTTGGAGTTCATTTCACTTAGTGTCATCTTATATGGTTATATGTCCATAGCTATTGAGCTATTCTGCTCATCTGCTAAGATTGTCCTAGACGTATGCTAATTATTGCAAATAAGGGAAACCATGGGACCTATGTTTCTTTGGGCTTGGCTTACTTCACTTAATATGATTTTTTCCAAGTCTTTCCATTTCCTAACAAGTGGGGCAATGTCATTCTTTCTGATGGAGGCATAGAATTCTATTGTGTATATATACCACATTTTCTTGATCCATTCATCTACTGAGGGACATCTGGGTGGATTCCATATCTTAGCTCTGGTAAATAATGCTGCAATAAACATAGTTGTTTTGTTTTCAGACAGTCTCAAGGTGAAATCCAGGCTGGTCTCAAACTTGTGATTCCCATATCCTCAGCTTCCATAGTGCTAGGATTACAGGAACATAATCACTACACCTGAAATAGTTTCCTCTTTAAAATTCTGCAGTGTGACCAAACTATTTCTCATCATGTAGTGTTTTTTTTTTCATTCAGTCCTGTTTGAAATGAGCACGCATGCTATGACAGACTGCAATGCAGTGCATAAGTTAGCTTCAGGATCACTTTCCCTCCTTTGCATCCACAAGAGGAGCATTCAGATTCCATGGGAAAGGGAAGAGGGTTCATATACTGTTTTGTTTTTAAAATTGCAAACATTCTTTTCTTTTTCATGTTTGATTACTTATGGAATGGATTTAAGGATGTCTAACTTTTCTTAAGTGTATTTCTGGGTTCTTTTTAAAAAGTCCATGTGATTTCTAGGGTTTTTTGGACAAACTCCATAATGAAATTAGTAGGACTCTGGAAAAGATTGGCAGCCGAGAAAAGTATATCAACAATCAACTTGAGCACTTTGTTCAAGAATATCGTGGAGCTCAAGCTCAGCTGAGTGAGGTAATTTTAAAATGACTTACCCCTTTGTACAACTACTTAAAGATAATGAAAATATAATCTTAAAAAGATAATTTCCAAGGATTTATACCAATGCCTGATCCTAAATTTGACCTAACACTTTTTCATTAAGAATTATGTAATGCTTTTCACAAACACATTAGTTCTCCTCTAGGAAGCCAATAAGGTAATAGAATTTATCTACATTTTATATATAATAGGAATTATTTACCTCTATATTTCTTTACTACCTTTCTTCATTTGGTTTAAATAAGTGAACATATATGCTGCTGGGGAATATCTTAGAACAGGAACAGCAACAGCATCAGGACTACTTTTTTTGCCTCTGTGTCTGCTGTTGATTTACTGTAGGACTGAGAGGAAGAATGCCAGGAGAAAGTTGATCCTTGGAATAATGGATTATATAATTATACAATAATGAACCTGAAAGCAAGACAGATGCAGAGACAAGCAGTTTACTTAATAAAATAATACAAGTTTTTCATCCTTTATATCCTTCCAAAGTTTCAGATCTTGAGCCAAAAATAAAAGTGCTTGCCTCTGAAAGCAGCACTTCTTTCTCTCAGCATTAGGGAACTAATGGCTTTCTTGAGGATTTATACCCATTTCCTGAGATTAAGGAAGGCTAGTAAGACTCATAAATACCACAGGAAGGCATATTTTTTCTAGCAGACAAAATTAGGAAGAGAAAAAAAGTAATAACTTTTTGAGATAACTTCTGTACATCAGAAGTTATCAAAGACCAAGTAGAAATTAATTCTCTTTTATTATCTGTTTAACTTATTCTATCATATTCCCTCATATACAGATCTATTCATGTATATTTTACTTTAAAAGTGCTGTAAAATTCTCTGATTAAAGCCATCATGCATCTGTCTAACATTAATATTGAATAATTGATTATTAGGTTAGTTTCCAAGAACATATTCCATTTGATTGTACTGTCATACTCTTTGTTAATCCTTATTAATTGCTGAGCTTGATGCTCTACTTTGATTGGTATTTTTTCTTTTTAGAACTAATTTTCTCTGCATAGCATGCAAATTAGATTGACCAAGTGCCTCTCTCCTAAAGTGTTTAGAAATCACTGAGGACAGTTTTTATTGTGAGCCATGCCCATACTAGTTATTTAGTCAGCATGTGAAGGTTAAAGCAGTTCATCATTTTATAGTGCTGTAGTTAAATAAATACAGGGTACCTATTAGGGACATGAAATGGCTATAGTTAAATGGCAGTGTCATAAATGTATTCACCAACAAGGATGGGGGTTGTCATAAAATGATATATATATGTAGACATTGTGAACACAAAGAGGTCATATTTAAGTAATCTCCTTCTGTTTTGGACTTGTCATTAAGCAGAATGTTTTTCCCCTCAGGCAAAGGAGCGATACCAGCAGGGTAATGGTGGAGTAACTGAAAGGACCAGACTCCTATCTGAGGTACACACTAGCAGTCCTGCTGTGCTTCTCACCTGTCCGCTGGGCTCAGCTGGTCAGAGCCATCAGATGACTAAATACTGCTTACTTCAATAAGTGCTTCCTCTGGCTTCAAATCATCTTCTCGAGGAGAAATGCCCTAGGTTTCTTCTCAAGTAATCAATTATTTATCCTTTTCTTGCTTCCTTAATATACCTAAAGTTACTATATTAAATTCAACATAAATCTTATTCATATCATTAGTGCATTGATAATGTTCCTTAATCTTTATTTTTAAATAATTAGTATGGGTAAAGCACTGACTGAGGAGTCTATGGGAAATTTTAATGTTAGTCTGCAAGATGCAAGGTTTATTTGTAGATACTGTTGTTCAGTATTTGTATGTGATCCAGGATGTATATTTGTCTACAACTGAAAGTGGCTTAGAATCTGTTTATTCTGGAAAATGTCATCATCTTGAGAAAGATAATGTGCATTCTGTTTACACTGAAAAGCTGATCAGAAAATACACACACACACACACACACACACACACACACTACACATTTAGAAAAGAAAAAAATCTCTTTGCAACAATATCATAAGTCAATTTGGGACTAAAATCCAAGACTGTCTTTTGTTCCAATCTACTATACTTTTTTATACACTTCACTGTTTCGTTAGTAAATAATTAAGCCTTTTTAATTTTTTAGTAATTTAACAGAGAGAGAACAAGGACACAATTAAGGGAAATGGTGGGCTCAAGCTAGGTGGCTGAAGAGCAAACACATGACTAAGAAAATTTCAGCTTTCTAGAAGTAGCCTGACCTTTGCACAGCAAACTCCTACTTCTGGCTTCATGCACATGTGTTGCATCTCATCCATATACTTAAAAAAATGGGATTGCAACCTTGGGCATACCAGAACCCTTCCAGGAATCTGCCAAGTCATGATCCCTCATTATCTATCCTAAGATCAGCCGACCATCCTTACAGTGTCCAAATCCTAGGATACCAAGAAAATGAGTCTGTTTCCTGAGGTCTTTTGTCATCATAGTATAGCCAATTTTTTCTTTAAGGTTTCATTGGTTCCTTGTACCTCTCCAGAGGCTTGAGGCCTCCAGACAGAATGTAAGTGGTAGTTCATTCTCAAAGTCCTGGCCACACCTCATACAACTTTGGAAAAGAAATAAATTGCCACTTCTAAATGCTTTGTGGTGATTTAAATCTAGCAAATACCTTACTTGCCTTAAAAAAAAAATTAACTAACTACCTGACTTTCTCCTGGCTAAATACAGAAATCTTGGCTTTTTGTTCCCCTTTTGGTACCTAACTGCTTCTCTCTGTGAAGAACCATTCAGTGTGAGTTCCGAAGAAGCTTGTCAGCCCAGGGCTTGTTTAACTGACAAAGGCTTGTCAGCATCACTCGTTTATTGTATCTTGACCCTCTGTAATAAGGAATTTGTGTGAGAATGCCAGATCCCCAATTTGACAAGGCATGTCAGGAGTGAAATACTAGATCTTTTATTTTTAACATTTAAACTCAGTCACCATCACAGGAAGGAGAACTTCCCCCAAATAAGGGAGTACACAAAGATAAAGTGTCACTATATTCAAAAGGAATGAAATTTTCTTACCCAGATGTCCATGGTTCTTTGAGGTTCCTCATAGGAGACAGAGAGTCACTGCAGGAGCTTCAGAGGGTGTCTCTAGGCCTCCCCATCCAATTCTGAGTGGGTCTTTTGGGCCTAGAGTGTTGCCTGGCTACCTTCCTCACTGGAAGTGGGGTCAGTCAAGTCTCCAGTGCTCTGCTTTCTCTCCCATTTTGGAGCAGGATCAAGGATTAGGAAGTGGGTACTGAGCATTGTCTTCTGAAATGCCCTGGCTTTTAACATTCGTAGCAGGTAGACTTTGCTGGATTGCCATCTTTTTCCCTCTGTCACATCCTAGGGCCTCTTTGGGCTTTCTCAATCATGAGTATTTGGGCGTTCCCAACCATGACTGTCTTAACTCTGGCTCACCTTCTTTCCTTATTCCATAACTTTTTCTCCTCCACTTCTCATTTGTTACACCATTAAGTATAACTCAGTATAACTGAGATGTATCATCTGTAGACCCAATGGAAGCTTTGAAGCTTCTACCGAATGCCCAAGGTTGATGAAATGTCTTGCTTACCTTTCTCTCTTTGTGACTGTGAGAATTCTTTTATCTATGAGGATGGAGCAGTTTGTCAGGATGAACTGACTGTCCCTCCAGGACAAACTGAGGTTAGCATGAGGGCTTTGCTTAAGTTGTCCTTATACCCTTGAATGTCAGCCACTGAAAAGGGGGTGTGAACTCAAGACCCTCTGGCTCCACCACCTACTGGGGCTGTGGTAGAGCTGCTAGCACCTGTGAATAGGGGGCTCCACATTCCTGGATTGGAAAGGGCTAGCGTTCAGGAGGTTTCTGATATAGGAGAGTGAATCCAGTGCTCCCCTAGAGATGGGGGACCCTCCCAGAAGGGAGGGAAGGACATTGTTCTATCTCTTTTGGTTTTTCTTCACCTGAGGGTCCTCTTGCAGAAGTTGAGGTCCAGTGCTGTGCCATGATACCCTTACGTAGACCTGTGGGTTGATCTACTTCACTTTTTCCTTACAAAAGTGATCTAATTGCAAGATGTTATTAAAATTTAAACCCATTTGCCAGCCACTTCTCTTAGTTTCTCAGCAGATGTTGGGGCCAGCTATATTACAATAAAACAAACAAACAAACAAAAAACATTTTTTCTGGTTATCAGGATCAAAGTGTTCCCAGTGCTTTAAGATGCTGCCAAGTTGATATTCTAAAGGAATGAAGCTGATTCCTCCCATCTTATCTGAAGGGAGGAAACAGGAGCCAGGAGCCAGGGTGATATTCCTGTGATTTAAATCTAGGAAGAGGGGTGAAACCCCTATCACCACCTGCAGGTGCCTCTGGAGTGCAGGCAGCTCCAGAAAGAGAGGTGTCTCCCTTTCTGGAAAACTTTCTCTTTCTTTTCCTCTCTTTGGAATCTGGAGTGAGCCCTGGCAATTTATCAGGCATCCTCTTGGGAAGACCCAAGACCTGGGGGCCCAGAGGGCTAAACTCCTGGGCCCCCTTAGTAGAGATTGAATGTCTCTGACCAACAACAGGGTAGAACCCCTATGATGAGCCAGTTCACACCACTTGTAGGCACTGACTAGTGCCTTCTGGATGTTATTTCATATTACTCAGCTACTAGCATTATGGAAGCTATTATAGCCAGCATAGGAACCTGGAGGAACATGACTACAGAGAATACGGAGAAAAACCCCAACTGTTCATGGGAAGTAACTTCTTGTTAGACTCTGGAGAAAACTATGTCTCAACAGGAGTCAACACAGACCAATGAAAAGCCTCAAGTATTGGAGTATAGCAGGAGAGGATGTAAAGTAGCAAGATTTCTTACTGGAAGTATAGACCCCCAGAACAACAATTGGGGGTTGGATGGAGAGGGGTTGGAGTGAAGAAGAGAAAGCCGCATGGAGCACATAGACATGGTGGCGAGGGTCTTACCTCCCATTGGGCTCAGCAAGTATGTGACAGGAGGGGGAGGGGGGGTTGCAGAGGTGAAAATCCCAGGTTCTTGCCATCTCCAAGAAAGAACTGAATGAACACACACACACACACACACACACACACACACACACACACACACACACAGTAGCATATCAAGGAAAATCTATCATTAAAGGGCACAGCAGGCTGAAGCTAGGTGGCTCAAGATCCTTTTATAGAGATTATTTCAGGAATAGTTATTTTAAAACACCCAAAATATACAATAAGAAATATTTAGACTCTAATCTTGTGGTGCTTCTAGGCAAATAAAACATTATATAGAGGTAAAGTGCTCACTTATGTTAGGTAAATTAACACTTGAAGACAGTCCAGGGATCCATTTAGTTCTTTTGCAGCAGGTAGTTATCCCCAGTTGTAATGTTTCAGGTGCCTGAAAGAAATTAATTTGCTTTACTTGGATGAGCACTTTATTCCCTAGGAAGATTTTACTCACCAGTATGATAAAAGGTAAAACCTACTAAGTTACAGTAATGGTGCTTTAGTTCTAGATTATATTAAAAAATTTCAACTTTTTCAAGATTATATTTTCTAACCTATTATTATGCTAGCTTAGAATTTTGCTAAAAAGGCTACAGTATTATAATCTCAACATTGCATGCATCTGTATCTGGAACAATTACAGTAGCACGCTATGTCTTTTCAAATTCATGGTTTTAGGAGAAAGAGAGAGAGAGAAAGAGAGAGAGAGAGAGAGAGAGAAAGAGAGAATGTGAGTGAGCAGGAGAGTGAGAGCCAGTCCTAGGACTTGAACTTAGGGTCTGGATGCTGTCTCTGAGCGTAATTTTTATTTATTTTTATTTTTATTTTTTTGCTCAAGGCTAATACTCTACCACTTGAGCCACAGTTCCACTTCTAGCATTTTGATGGTTAATTAGAGATAAGAGGACAGACTTTCCTGCCATGGCTGGCTTTGAACCATGATCCTCAGATCTCAGCCTCCTGAGAGTAGCTAGGATTACAGACATGAGCCACCAACACCCAGCAAGCACCTTTTCTTGATAACCTGTTGGTCTCTGATGAGTCAAATAATAAATATTAAGAATATTATCAATTATTTTCTTACATTAAAAAAAAGATTCAAGGCAGTCTTGAAAGGAAAGTCTATAATTTACCAACCACTTGAGGTATGGCTCAAGTGGTGCTCTAACCTTGGACAAAATAGCTAAGCTCAAGTGCAAGACCCTGAGTTAAAGCCCTAGTGCCAACACACACATACACACAAAGAAAGAAAAAAAGAGGAAATAAATAAGATACTTTGAAAACCTTTAGAAAGCCAAATTTTCTTTCTGGTATTTATATCACCTTATTAATTAATAACTAATAATTAGAAAATAAAATATAAGTGTAAATGTTCTGAGAATTGCATGCTTTAAGGGCTTCATGCTTAAAACAACTTGGTTTCTATTCTATAATGTCACAATGTGATAAAGCTAGTGTGAAAGTAATGTGGTCAAGTTTTACATCATGAGCATTCTCAGAAGATGAAACATTTTGTTTATCTGCATACTTCATCTTTTTGTTATATCCAGAATGTCCCTAATGTTTTATTTCCCTTTTTGGGAAATAAATTAATTTTTCTCCAAGCATCATTCAAAATTTTTTGAATGTTTATTAAAATTTAGCACTCATGTAAACTTTTTTCAATGAAAGGTTACAGAAGAATTAGAAAAAGTTAAACAAGAAATGGAAGAAAAGGGCAGCAGTATGACTGATGGTGGTGAGTATGTGCTCATTTTAAAAGGGAAAAGTGAGCTGGAGAAAACCGACTCCTCAAGAAACTACATAAGCAATGTATAGGGAATCTGCTTCTTACAACAAACTATTAGTTACTTGTTTCAAGAGTGATACATGGTGCAAAAATGATGTTGACAGTCTGTGTATTCTTGCTTCTTACTGGTCACTTGAAAAGAGTAGAAATATATTTACTGTAATTTAGGTTTACTAAACTCATGCTGTATTGATTCAAAGATGGGGGAAATATTTAACTATTTGCTTTATTCTGCCAATTTAAAAGATACTTCATTCTGTTTTTTTTTTTTTTTATCAAAATGGCTTTATTTTTTAAATATCTAATGTGCAAAGACATTTGGCCCTTGACCAAACATTACATGCATGATTTGGTGACCTATAGGGGGTTGTTCCTTTGTTTCATTCCTTCCCAGAAGGAATTTTGATGCGTAATTGTTATTGACTAAAGCTTTTCTGTGCCTATAAAGACTTTCTAGAGCTCTAGTGGCATATTCTGACTGATCTTAAAGGAGCTTTTTTGCAGTATATTTTTAAGTATGCTTATTACCTTTATCACAAAGATACTTTTCTCTTCCCTCTTCTCCCTTTCTATCTTCTTCTCCTATAGAGAAACAACAAGCCCATAAAATCCTTTCCCACATATCCTTAAATACCCACTTAGTGGTTCTTCCTCTAGAAAACTTAGAAAGTTCAACCTCCGTACATCTAACAATGAATCATTTCCCATTCTAAAAATTTTAGGTGTTTAAAATGCTGCTGAAAAATCTGTGAATGTCAGCGCATTGTTGGCTGTCTTTTTAACCCTATTTTTGGCTTAAGATAAAATGAGGAAAATGTCATACAATTCGATAATAAACTAATACTCCAAATGAGCATTTTTATTCTGTGCTATTTTTATTGTACAGCTCCTTTGGTGAAGATTAAGCAGAGCTTGACAAAACTGAAACAAGAAACTGTTCAGATGGATATTAGAATCGGTGTTGTGGAACACACATTACTCCAATCAAAACTGAAGGAGAAATCCAACATGACTCGGGACATGCATGCAACGGTTATTCCAGAATCAGCAATAGGCCCTTATTAAAACATACCACGTTCCATGCTTCTCATTATTTGTTTTTTATATCAAATTATTTTTCATGTTGCTTTGATTCCCAAATACAATTATACCTCTAAAAGTATGTTCAATGGGTAATTTTTGCTTATGTACACACAATATTGTATCATGGTGATTATAATGGTAAACTCAACATTAAATATAATTTTTAATAAAGTAATTAAAAATTTCTCACATTTGAAGAAGCTTTCGTTACCTATTTAACCTTTGTTAAAACTCCTGCCTGGCCTGGGAATGTAGCTCAGTGGTAGAGTGCCTACCCAGCAAGCATGAAACCCTGGGTTCAATTACTCAGTATCACATAAACAGAAGAAAAAAAAAGCCAGAGGTAGTGCTATACACTAGCCTTGAACATACTGAGGCTCAAGAACAGTCCCCAGGCCCTGAGTTCAAGCCCCAGGATTAGAAAAAAAAATCCTGCCTAGTGGCTTGGGTTGTTTTTTGGTTTGTTTGTTTACCATTCTTTGCTTATAATATGACTCCTACCTCCTACCGATATGGCTGGACTGTTGACATGGGGCTAGTAGCCTTCTTCATTGACTGTAAGTGTTTCTGTGGGGGCGGGGCGGGGGAGCCGACAGAAAATAGGTGGAAGAAAACAGGAGGCTGCACCTTCTGGATCCCACCCTTGTCTGTGCTATCAGCCATGCGACGCAGCCACTTTGGAGGAGAACTATGACCAGGCACATGAAGAGGTACAGCCTCCTCCCACAGAATGCAGACACACCTCAAATAAAAGAACTGATACTATACTGAGCTGAGTTAGTGAGTGGGTAGATGACTGTATCTTACGCATCTTACTGAGGGACTTTCTAGACTAAAATTTCCACATCAGAGAAATAAGCAATATTAGATTACCACCTTGGGAAAAAACTACTCAAAGGATCACAGGGTGTGATCCTAATGTGTGTGTGTGTGTGTGTGAGTGTGTGTGTGTGTGTATGTGTGTACACACACGTACCAGGATTGGCGCTGCTTGCCTTTTCCAGTTACAACTGGCCCTTTATCACTTTAGCCCAACTCTTCTTCTGGCACTTTGCTAGTTGGAGATATGTGAGGAATTTATGTGCTAGGGCTGGCTTTCAACCATGAACTACAGAGATCTCAGCCTCTAGTGTAGCTAGGTTAGGATTCTAGCTGTGCAGGCACATGTTTGTTTGTTATTTAAAGCATTAATAGTGAATTTTAATAAAAATTACTTTTTGGACAACAAAAATAGTAAAATCTCATTATGATTTTTTAATCTTAGTATTTTTCTCCTCAGCACTGTTTAGACATACACATGCGCACAGACACACTCAAATCTTTCCCCTCAAACTGGCATTAGTTTAAGTTTAGATAAGAGAAAATTCTGTGTACATAAACTACAACCCAAGAGGATGACAAGCAATAAAGTGACAAATAAGCCAGTGTATTTAATTTGTAAAGAAGAGGAGGAAATCCACAGTGGGATAGTAGGCAACGTGAAAGGCTGAAATTGTCTCTTCTTTATGATTATTAGAAAGAGCCTAGTAGAAACTGTGAAGCATAACCTTTTGTCCTGGGAACTTAATCACATAGGTATTGTGGCTGAGCAGTATTTGGATTAATTCAGTCAAGGAAGAGAACCTCTGGTAGATCAGAGTTTACCTTAAAATGTTGTTTTTCTCTCAGAAGCCAAGTACACTATTTTATGGAAACACAAAAGTCTAAGAACTCATCCAGTATATGAGCAGTCTATTTTTATTTCTGTCTCTGTCCAGTTTATTCAGGTTGGACTGTGAATCCTGTTCTTTCTTCCCATAGAATTTGATACATACGTTAAAAAACTCATACTGTATTGTGTTTTGTTCCTTCTTTCTTCCCTGAGAGATTCAGCTGCTTGAGAGTAGGGACACAGCCATTTTCATCTCTATATTCCTAGCCAAGTGCCAACATACAAAGCATCCAGTAAGTTTAGTTAGTGGGTAGATGACTACATCATTCACTTCAGAGTAGCTTCTAGCTCATTTTTCACAGACTGAAGAATGTAATAACTTCAAGCCTATGTGCCTGATATACTTTCTAGATGATAATTTATTGTAAAGGTGATGTACAGAGGGGTTGCAGTTACATAAGTCAGATGAAGAGTACTTTTATTTTCTCTGTATCTGTTTTTCTTTCCCTCCTGTCCTTACCCACAAGTAGTATAAGTCATTTTCAGCATAGTGTCTAGTATCACTGTTGCATTTGTTCACCCTTTGTCTCACCATTTCTGTGACTTTCCTTACCCTCCCCAAAACAGATAAATGAACAAATAAGACAAAAGGCAAAGAAGACAAAAACAACAACAAAGAACAAAAAACCTCTTGTTCCCATTTCCTAAATGGAAGCATTTCAATAAATATTTCTATATATATTTTTTTTTTTTTGCTGGTCGTGGGGGCCTGAACTCTGGGCCTGGGTGCTGTCCCTCAGCTCTTCAGCTCAAGGTTAGCACTCTATCACTTGAGCCACAGCGCTACTTCCAGCTTTTTTCTGCTTCTGTAGTGCTGAGGAATCGAACGCAGGGCCTCATACATGCAAGGCAAGCACTCTACCACTGAGCTAACTTCCCAGCCCCTCTATATTTATTTGATAAATATTATTTTATATGACCGGATACATTATTGCATCTTTGTGATCATTTCCTAAGAGTATCTTCCTTTGGTCTCCCTCTGTGTGCAGATGATTTTAAAATATGGATTTTTTTTCCTTGTGGGATTAGATTTGAATTGGAAGCATGAGTAGAAACTCATTTTTTTCATACACATAAGTTAATATAATGAACCTATGTAACATAATTAGAAACATACATATGTATTTCCTAGTTTAGTCCTCTGAGAGGGCCTAGAAGTAGTCAAGTAGTGAGAACCCAACCACCACTGTTGCTATACATAGCCCTTAAATCTTGATATCTAAATTCTCTAAACAACAGGCATGCTCAAGAGGTAGAGTGCTCTCCTTGAGCTGAAGAGCGCAAGGACAGTGCCCAAGCCCAGAGTTCAAGCCCCACGACCGACAAAACAACAACAACAACAAAAAAAAACCAGGCATTTTAGAAAGGTGATTCCATGATGGCGCAACTGGGGCAGGTAAGGCACAAGGCAGCCAAAAATACCTAGCTCTGCTAGGAAGTAAAAACGGACTCAAAGAATAAAGAGGAGCCAGGCACTGGTAGCTCAAATCTATAATTCTAGCTACCCAGGAGTCTGAGATCTAAAGCTCAAGATTATAAGCTAGCCTAGGCAGACAAATCCCAGACATTCTTATCTCTAATTATCATAGAAGTGGACTGGAGGTGTGCCTCAAATGATAGAGTGTCAGCCTTGAACAAAAAAAAAAGCAAATGGAGAGTTCCTTGAGGCCCTGAGTTCAAGCTTTATTTTTATTTATTTTTTGTTCCAGTACCAAAAAAAAAAAAAAAACAATTGATGAAGACGTGTCTAAAGGACATAGCCAGATTCTGGAATAGAAAGGCATATCAAAGTGAATCATATTAATGAATGAGTAACAATGAGTCCATACAGAAAGAGCACTGTGTGAGTAAGGAAATGAGAATGGTCCTCCTAGAAGGGCTGACCTCCATCCACCCTGTTTTCCCAGGTACATAGAAACATGAGGCAAGCCACCGAAGAAACGTGCAGGCTTACCCAGGCAGGGCAATCTACCTAAGCCTGGCTATAAACATTCCATTGTGGGCCAAACCGAAAAGCCCCACCCCCAATTTCCCCAGACCTAATGGCTTTCTCATTAACCTCTGCCTCCTTGCTCAGACCCCATAAAATACCAACTCCTAAACCATCTCTTTGCACAGTCTCCAAGCCCACAGGAAGGCTGTGCCCCTGGCTGTTATATCTCAATAAATAGTCCTGGCCCGTGGAACATCCGGTCTAGCCTGTTTCCTTCCTTTTCCTTCCATTTTCCTAACACTCCTTACAACAGAATAACAGCTAGTAACTGGAATGCTGGGTTAAAAAGTCACTAGCTGGCAACTACCATAGTACTTGACTAGAGTGAAACAGCAATGATTGCTGAAACTAATAGGTGAAAATTTGACGAGAAACAGGATATCTACATATTTCAGTGTGCGAGCTATTTCACACATACACAAAAATGTTGTAGCTTTACAGCAGAAAAAAAATACATACCAGAAGACACCACTTTAACTAAGTGATCAAAGTTACATCACCATTAATGGGACAAATAGACGTCACACGCTTTCTGAAAAGGGCACACACTTCCAAGTTTCTACTGGAAACGCATAACCTGAATCTGATCATGGAACATCAGACATCCAAATTGAGAGAGATGTACAAAATGTCCCACATTCTACCAAAAAATGATAAGGTCATGCAAAACAATGACCAAGAACTGTTCCAGAGTGAAAGAGACTAAAGAGACATGGCAGTTAAATGCAACAAGTGATTCTCAATTGGACCCCGGGCCAGAGGGAGAAAAATAAAGTATGTGTGTGTAAGCAAAGGGTATCTAGATTGGATAATAGCATTCAATTCTTGATTTTCATATTTACATTGTGATTGTGTAAGGTAATACCCTTGTGTTTGACAATACAAGTATTTCATCACAACAGCATCTTAGATAGTTTAGGAACAAAAAATGTGTGTATTTGTACATTTAAACATGTATTTAGAGAAAAAGAGAATGATAAAATGAATGAGAATGAAATGCTAACTATCCTGATTTCATTAGTGCATGGTATCTGCTTATGTTGAAATATCACTCCATTAATATGATATTAATATATGTTGATATAAAAGAGATTAGCAATTCTCTTATGTTATGCCTGAATGATTTTATCATGCTATTTGCCCACTTACCTCACAGTGCCTACCATTGTACTGAATAAAAATTAGTGTGACAATATTGTTGATTAGTCATTAAAAGTCACTTACTAAAATAAAAAATAATATAGTAAAGATAAGAGAGTAAGTTGCTAATATTTTGAATT